TAATCTAAATCGAACTGAACTAAAAGCTTAGTTTAAACTAAAATTAACTTATAATTTAAATTGTTCAAAGTATTAGTTAGTCTTGATGGTATTTTAAAAGAAATAAAAAGTTTAAAAATAGATATTGCAAAATTATTTAAAAGTTTAATAAATAAAGAATTAAAAATTTTCTTATATAATAATAATAATGCTAATGTTCTGTAAAATTAGATTAAATCAGATTTTATCTAAATCTAATTTAATTTGATTTTTATTTTTCAAAATTTAAATTTGATTTGAATCTGATAGATCTATTAAAATTTAGATTAAATCAGAATCTGATAGATTAAATTTAAAATTTAGATCTGATGAATCTGATTAAATTTAAATCTGATCTGATTTGAATCTAAAAATATTTATTAAAAATAATTTTCAATATTAAAAGATTTAAAAATATTTCTTTTTAATAAAAAGAATTTTTTTAATTTTAAAAAATGTTTGAAAAGTTATTTCTTTTTAATAAAAGAAATATTTTTAGCTTTAAAAAGGATTCAAAAATTTATTTTCTTTCAATAAAAAGAATTTTTTTTAGTTTTAAAATCTGAAAAGTTGTTTCTTTTTAATGAAAGAAATTTTTTGACTTTAAAAAAGATCTAAAAATATTTTTTTTTTCAATAAAAGAAATCTTTTAATTTAAAAATATCCAAAAAATTGTTCTTTTCAATAAAAAAAAACAAATTTTCAACTCTTAAAGAGATCTAAGAATTCATTCATTTAATAAAAGGAATTATTTCAGCTATAAACATGTTTAAAAATTCATTTATTTTTAATAAAAGGAATTTTTCATTTTTAAAAAGATCTAAAATTCATTTTTTTTTAATAAAAGAAATCTTTTTAACTCTAAAAGAGATTTAAAAATTTATTTTTTTAATAAAAAATTCTTTTTAACTCTAAAAAAGTTTAAAAATTTATTTCTTTTAATAAAAAAAGATTTTTTTAGCTCTAAAAGTGACTTAAAATTTTATTCTTTTTTATTAAAAGAAATTTTTTCAGCTCTAAAAGAAATTGAATTTAAATTTGGATTTGATAGATCAGATTTAAATTTGAATCTAAATCTGATAGATCAGATCAAAATCTGAATCTGAATTTGGTAAATCAGATCTAATTTACATTTGAATTTGAATCTGATTCAAATCTGACAGATTTAATCTAAATTTAATTTGTTAGATTCAGATTGAATTCAGATTAATCTGAATTTATATAAATTACTAAATAATACTATATCTTTAAGGATTATTTTATAGAATTTTTTTTGGATTTATCTATTAAAATATTTATAAAATAGTAAACATTATAATTTACTAATTATTAATTTGAATATATAAGAAAGTAATTTATTTTTAAGAAATTTTAATAAAAATAATTAAGAAAAATTAAAAAGTAATCAATTTTTTATAAGTATATTTTAATGGAATCTTAAACTAAAATATTTTATTTAGAAATCTCAATAAATATATTATTTAAATATATTTTTTTAATTATTTTATTATTAAATGAATTTTTATTTTTTTTTAGCAATTTTCAAAGGAATATGATATTATGATTAAGAACTTGAAGAAAAATGAATTAGAGGAATATTTTAAAAAATTTGTCTAATATGTGATATTGATATATCTGGAAGAAATATCTCTAATCATTTAGGATATTATATAGTAATTCAATCAATATTTGATGCTGAAAATTAAAAAGTTGAAGTAATAGCAATTTCAGGTCACAATTAATCAGTTAGAATATGCAACTATCTTAAAATAACAAAGAAAAAAAAAAGAAATATTCTTAATTTAATTATGTAAAGATTGACTGGAATTGTAGATGATAGTATTAATAAAGATGATGCATTACAAGACAAGGTATTTTTATATTTTTAAATTGACATTTAAATTTAAATTATATAATTATCCAATGGTTTTCCTAAGGTTTTGCAACTATTAAACAAAAAATATAAGAGGCCTATACAAGAAATTTCATCTTCTGAATTAAATACAAGTCAAAAGAAAAAATAAATAATTATAAATAAAACTTATTAATTGTACTATATATAATTAATTGGTTTTAAATGTAATTTTATTAATGCCTGATAATGATTTTTGCCTGATAAACTATTTATTATAGTTATTGTTTAATTGTAAAAAATCACGGGATACCGGATAAATTATATGTATCAGAATATATCAATATTCTGCTTGTCTACTGATATTCATTCAGTATGACTTAACTGAATTTTACATTAGATATTCCTGATCTCAAGAACTGGTTAAAATTCATGTATGCATATCGAATCTAATTCAAGATAAAATTAGTGTAAGTTAATGCTAATATTGGGTATAATTTCTTTTTATGTTTACATTCATAGAATTGTTTCATCTAATCTTATAAATTTTCGGTTTAATTTATTAATTACGAGAAATTTTAACATTTACGAGTAGCATAGATTACTATATGGGGGAAATCCTCTTTTTAGTCAAAAATTTTTTTATTGGTTCACAAAACTAGCTTAATAACTCAAAATTTGTAGATTTCCCTTTTTCTATTGACCTCCCCACACAATGTATATAACATGAGTATAGTATATATTTTTCTTAAAACAAGTATTGCATTTATTGACTGCAATTGTGTGAATATTATTTATATAAATACATTACAAAAGATGTTGCTAACTTCATTTTTGAATTGTACAACTTGGAATCTGCAAAAAATGATCAAAAAAAAATAATGCAATTTAAAAATATGATAGGAGTTACTTGAAGCAGATATAACAAACAGTTGGGTACGACACAGTAAAGAAATTAGAATCCTTGTTCGACATATTAGCTTGCTCAATTATTTATACAACTAGTGTCACTTTCTATAAAATTATTTTGTATTTCTTGTATAATCCGCAAATACAAATGAAAAATGAGTTTTGTTACATAAAAGTATAGGATGGGGCGTAATTCAGATTTATCATCGCCATTGAACATAATATAATAAACGAAAAAAAGAAGTCTATAGTAAAAAATTTCATTTGTTGTTAAAAGAAATCGCTTAAAATTAAAAAAAAAGAGAGAAAAATAAATAAAAAAAATTAATAAAAATATAAGACTTACTGGGCAGCGACCCACCGTCACGAATCCGAAAAGAGTCTAAATAATTAACAATTCAAATAAACAAAATGTAAAAAAGGAATGAAAGAAAATAAAACATTGCCTATCACATACTGGAAAAATTAATCACCTATCGCTACAGACCAAAGTTATAGAAGGCCGAAACTAACAAAAAAAAAATTATCTAATACTTAGTGAAAGTTATTCAACTCGATAGAGAAACCTAAAAAAAAGAAAAGGAGCAGTTTCCCCAAAAAGGCAATGTTCGATTGCTAGGCCGAAGAGATCGAACTTTAATGTAAGGCCTTTCTCTTTCTCTTTTAGAATAAATTTTATTTAGAAGGGTGCAGGCTAAGATCGACATTATTTAAACAAGATTTGACACGTGATCAAGAATGTTAATTAGATAGAAATTAAAAATTGAATTATAAATTACATAAATTACGAGTTAATGTTAGAATTAGGATTAGGGTTAGAGTTAGAGTCAGATTATGGTTTTATAATATGAGTTTATCATTAAGATTAGTGTTAGGGATAGAGTTAGGGATGAATAATTTATAAAAAAAAAAATCAAATAAATTGTATTTATTTTAATTTCTTTGATATGCAAAAACTTTAAATAGCGAACTCGCCCGAGTAAAACCACTAGTTTAATGAAATAATTTATTGCGAAATTCAATTTATAATTTTATGGGAATTAATAATAATAGTTTATTTAAATTGTGAATATTTGTCAAAAAATTTTATTCTTTCATATATTTTGTAACTAAACATCTAATTTAACTTCCACTTCATATAGTTTAAGACTTTTTATAATTGTAATACGCTGTGCTAAGCCAGTATATGTCATTTTACGTCCAAAAAGAGATTCGATTTTTTTACGATTATCGATTAAAATTGATTTCGTTTCGATTTTCGATCAATTCGATTTTACTAGAATCGATTCTAATGATCATTTTGAAGATCAACCAAATCATATTTAAGCCTTATCATACATACTAATTCGATAAACAATATTGATTAATGCTTGAATAATGCCCAATATTATATATTATCTTGATAGTTATGAAAAGGTTCTTTAATTAAACTAATAATACATATTCATCGGAAACTCGTGTAGCCTGAATTTCATAATACGTACGCAATTACCTATTATATAATTGTCAATTACTTTCGAATAAGGTTATCGTTATGAGTAAAGACCTCAGGTTTCGACGATGTGCATGAAACTCTTTATAAATATTTAACGAAACGAAATAAACAATTTAGTATTAAATTTCTGATCTTTTCTTGCGGTAGAAAGTATTTCTGGTTGTATAGATTATTTTGAGTAAAATTTTTTGAATATAGGCACGAAAGTGTTTAAATTTGTCTTGAATATACCATATTAGATAGATAAAGAAAGAAAAAAAGAACTACGAAGTGATTAAAGTTATAATAATGGTATAAAATGCTGTAATAGAATCCGAAATTTTGAGGATAAAGAAATAATAATTAAATTGCAAATGAGAAATTTTCAATTGTGTTACATAGGGTTAAAGCGAGATTAATGAAGTATCTAATAAATTGACATCATTAAATAGTAGTTTATCAGCGGATATTTTTTTTTTGATAAAATCATCAATACGTGAAAATAATATTTTTTTTTTGCATTAATAATAGACAACATTTATTGATGAAACCGAATATAAGAATCATAATTGTAAAGATATTTTGAATTTTATTTATATAATCAGTGACTAATACTATATAAAGAATTAAAATAAACGTAATTCTATAACTTTATTTTCTAGAAATTATTAAATATTAGAAATAGTTGATTAAATATAGAAATTATTACTTATTTAAATGAGTTGTTAATGAAATAAATAGATTAGATTAAAGTTTGGCATATGCACAGCCTATAAAATTAGTATTCGAATTACCAATATAGATAATCATAAAGGACAATTGAGGTATACTGCCTGGTGCTTGAATTTCCACCGTTTTGGTATACTGGTCACCAGCTTTAATTGAACATCCACTTCCAGTACAAGCAGGAAATTTAGCTGGGTGATTTTGACCGTTATCATAAAATTCAATCGTAATTTCGGTACTTTCGGTGATATCTCTCGCAAATTTTCCGGAAATCGTAACTTTATCCTTTTGTCCAGCGACAGGAACTTCGGGTGAAAGTGTTACTTGGAGTAAGGTTGGTGGGGACATTGATTCATCTGTACATTGTTTAAAGGCGATGGCTCTTCTAAGAAGGTTATGTGGAAGTGCATTGACCGTGAAGAGCGTGACCAATAAGAAGAATGCTAAAATAAATTTTCGGTTCCTGATTATGATTTCTTTTAGAAGCTGAGTTTGTTGAGTTTTTTTTTTTTTTTGGTGAATGTTAGTAAATAAGCTTGAATTTAGAAAAAGCATGATTCTTAAATTCAGAGTAAATAGAAATCAGTTCCTTTTTATAAAGAAAAAAAAATGTAAAAAACGATAAAAAAATTCGTATTCCTTTTAAATTGTAATTTACGAATCAGTAGATCTAGTTTACAAGTATATATTGTCCCATTCTTAGTATGAAATCTATTCTTAGTGATTTTCATATCAAATTCTATTTTGTTTCACAAACTTCTTTTTTGTTATAAATCATAAAGTTTAGTACATAAATTTCGATATTGGAATTTTAAATAGAAACCCAATTTAAATAAATCATTTCAAAAATCGAGCATCATTCTTTAATTTAGTAACTTACGAACTTAACGACATCCGTATTGTTTTAAAATAGTAAAAGTAAAATGAATATTATTAATGAAATCGAATTAATTGTAAAGCAGAGGTATTGGAGTAGAAAAAAAGATAAGTGAAAGGTTTTTAAGAAAGCAATAATGTACTATTGATCAGCATGCATCCTTTTTTTTTTTTTTTAAAAAAAAAAAAATAAATAAATAAAAAAAAATTTCAATATAATAATGCAAAAAAAAATCTCGTTACTTCGTTAAGTATATCGATGAAGAAAACTTTATTTTCCATGACTCAAATTTCCTAAATTTTTCTCATCATATGACCGGAAGAAGTAATTAATTGACTTTGGTATTTCGTCGATAATCAATAACGATAACACTTATTAGGGTTTCCGTTTTGAAATACAAATTTCATATCAAATATTTGAAAGTTTTTTAAAATAATTCAAACGAATATCGAAATTATATTCGGATATCGAAATTAATTTCAAATATCGAAAATCATTTCGAAAAGAATATATAAAAAAAAAAAATAAAAAGAAAAAATTATAAAAAAATAAATAAATTAAATAAAAAAAAAAAGAATGGACCGAAGAAAAAATATATCGAAAAAACCAAAATACAAAAAAAAAAGAATGAAATACGAAAAAAATAAAAATCGATCGATAAGATCGACCGAATTGACGATATTCGAAATCAATTTCGATATAGCTATGTATCAAGTAGATTACTTACTATTGAGGATTCTATGTCGTTGCTATGTGTCCTCTTTTTGATAACGGTTCAACTAGCATTTCTCAAGTTGGAACCTATCCCGAACATAACTTTTTAAAAGATCCTAACGATCTCAGTATAAGAAAGTGCTGATGCAAATTAGTATCAATTTATTTATACACGACTTACGTCATAATTATTTAATTTAAACTAATATATATATTGTATATCTTTAAAGTATATATAATTTCAACCGGTTCGAATAATTGGATATACCGTTTATTACACATAATTAATTTCCAACAAAAGTATTAAAATGAAATTGTAAGTTAAGAGCGGAATTCATTTTTAAAAGGTTATAATTAATAGATCGTGAATATTCTGCCGAAAGTCTGACACAATACTAGAATTACACTTGTGAATATACATTTTTATTAACGACTTTAGAAGGCGATAAATTGTTTCTGCCTTTATATACAAATACTTAACGCTAAAAAAAAATACATTTATGTAATTTTATGAATTTAATAAACAAAAAAAAAATGTTCTAAAAGTTCTATAAGAGCTTAATAAGATTCATATTATTCATATGTTACATCATAGACGTTTTTATAACGAGATTTATATAATTTATCAATTAATCATTTAGAAATTTTTTTTTTAAATAAATTATTAAGCTATTTTTGTATTCAGTTCTTTCTTTTATGTATCTATAAACAATTTGTAATGTAAGCAGAAGGTAATAATTAAATAAAAATGAAGTAATATTGACAAAGAATTTATTTAATTATATCAATTTGATCAGTGTTGCCTCAACGTCGGCGCT